GAGAGACAAAAGATTCCTGCCTTGTACCAAAACTATAAAAGGGGGTGGAGCAGGACAAACGGGGCTGCAAGTCATGAGAATACCTCTGCTTACCATCTGAGATGTCTGCTGAAACTAACCAGGACTGTACCAGGGGAAAGGATTGGGCCCAGACTAGGAAGGAGTCTAGTCTGTGAAAGAAGCTTATTGGAACACCTTTGAGGGTGAGATTCCCTGAAATCAGTTTCTTAATGTATTAGGCTTAGACTTGCGTGTTTTATTTTGCTTTGTGACTTACTTTGTTCTGTCTGTTGTTATTTGAAACCACTTAAATCCTACTTTTTATATTTAATAAAATCACGTTTGTTTATTAATAAACCCAGAGTAAGTGATTAATACCTGGGGGAGCAAACAGCTCTATCAGTGTTATAAAGGGCAATTTATGAATTTACCCTGTATAAGCTTTATACAGAGTAAAACTGATTTATTTGGGGTTTGGATCCCATTGGGAACTGGGTGCTGGAAAGAGATAACCTGCTGAGCTGTTTTCAGTTAAGTCTGCAGCTTTGTGGGCATGAACCTGGGTCTGGGTTGCAGCAGGCTAGTGTGTCTGGCTCAACAAGACAGGGTTTTGGAAGCCCCAAGCTGGCAGGGAAAACGGGTTCAGAGGTAATTTCAGCACATCAGGTGACAGTCCTAGGGGATCTCTGTGACCAAACCTGCCACACTGTATACCACAGGGGCCGTGGAACCAGGGGGGTGGGTTAGCACCCCCGCAATGGAAATATTTGGGGGCTCTGCTGCACCATGTAAACTCTTGCATGCCCCAGGTGGGAGGGGAGCATTGAGGGAAACAGGACCTAGGGGGGCTGGAGCAGCTGCCATTGAGCTGGGGAATGGTGTGGGAGGGTAGAGACAAGAACAGACCCTAGAGGGACTGGAGAAGACACCATGGGACCTGAAATTGGGTTAGGAAGCAGGACCCGCACCCACCAGCAGCCCCCCTATCAGAACCTCTCCCAGCGCCTCCTGCCCACCAGCAGCCCCAACGATTGGCACTTCCCCCTCCCTCCCATCCGCCGCAATCAGTTGTTTCGCGGCTTACAGGAGGCTCTTGGGGGTGGGGGGGTGGAACGGGGAAGGAAGAGGCAGGGTAGGGGTGGGAAGAGGATATCCCATTGGCTAGCTTAGGTGGCTCCCTGTCTAGAGTGCTGGCTTTTGTGGATTGTGTTCTAAGGTGCCTTCCCCACTCAGTTCATTGTATAGGGAGCCTAGGCACCTAACTCAGGTTTGTGGTTCACAGTGCTGTTCCTGTGATTTTCTAGGCACCATGACACTCAGCACTGCAATGTCTAAGGCAGTGGTCCCCAGACTTTACAGGGCTAGACTTCCCCTTACCTCTGTCCATGTCCCCCTGCCTCCCAGCCTAAAGCAGGATGTGGCTGGGGGCAGGGACACGAAGAGGGGTAAGGGGCTTGGGCTGTAGGGATGAGACTGGGAGCGAGGCTATGGACTGAGCCATGGCTGGGAGCTGAGGCTGGGGCAGGAGCGGAGCCGCAGCTGGGCCCCCAGCCAGGTGCAGAGCCACACTGAGGCTGGTGATGGGGCTGGAACAGAGCTCAGGGTGGGGAGGGGCTGGGTGGTGCTTCCTCCCTTCCCCCTGAGAGGTAGGGTGACCAGGTGTCTGGTTTTTGACCGTAACACCCAGTCGAAAAGGGACCCTGGCAGTTCCAGTCAGCACCGCCGACCAGGCCATTAAAAGTCCGTTTGGCAGTGCTGCGGAGCTAAGGCAGGGTAGTCCCTACCTCTCCTGGCTTCGTGCTGTGTCCCGGAAGCGGCCAACAGGTCCAGCTCCTAGGTGGGTGGGGGCTACGGGGCTCCACACGCTGCCCCCGCCCTGACCACCAGCTCTGCACAGCCAATGGGAGCTGCGGGGACGATGCTTGTGGGCGAGAGCAGCGCACAGAGCCGCTTGCCGTGCCTTTGCCTAGGAGCTGGACCTGCTGTCCGCTTCCGGGGTGCAGCGCGGTCCACAGTGCCAGGACAGTCAAGAAGCCTACCTTAGCTCCCCTGCTGCGCTACTGATGGGGAGCCGCCGAAGGTAAGCCCACACTCCAACCCCGAGTCCCTACCCCCAGCTCTGAGGTCCCCCCAACCCAGAACCCCCTCCTGTACCCCAAATCCCTGATCGCTGGCCCTATCCAGAGCCTGCACCCCCAGGTGGAGCCCTTACCCCCTGCACCCCAACCCCTTTCCCAGAGCCCCTCACACACACCCTGAATCCCTCTGCCCCAGCCCCAGCTTGGAGCCCCCTCCTGCATCTTGAACCCCTCATCCCTGATCCCACCCCAGAGACTGCACCCCCAGATGGAGCCCTCACTACCCCTGCACTCCATCCCCGTGCCTCAACCCGCAGCCCCCTCCTGCACCCTGAACCACTCATCCTCAGCCCCACCCCAGAGCCTGCACCCCCAGTTAGAGCCCTCATCCCCTCCCAACCCAGAGACTGCACCCCCAGATGGAGCCCTCACTACCCCTGCACTCCATCC